AAAAAAAAAGAAAAAAAAAAACTGACTCAGCCAGAAGGATCGCTCCTGCACTAGGGTACCACATTCACGTGACCACACATCCACTTCGCAAGAGTAAAATCCTCTTTCTTTTTCGAAATTTTCTCTGTTGTCAATCCGTTCTTCATCGCCCGACTAACATTTCAGCGTCGTCCTCGCCCAACCACCGACACAATGACCAAGATCAACCACCGTATGTGCTTCCGCACGTAATTGCAGTCTATTTTTCATGTTGCTGACTTTTGAAAACAGTCGTCTCGTCTTCCCGACGCAAGAGCCGTGCCGCTCACTTCAAGGCTCCCTCTGACCAGCGCCGTGTTATCATGAGCGCTCCCCTCTCCAAGGAGCTCCGTGAGCAGTACAACGTATGTTATTGTCACTGCGGAAATCGCTTCATCGTTCTAACCTTTCCCAGGTCCGCTCTATCCCCATCCGAAAGGACGACGAGGTCACCATTGTTCGTGGCTCCAACAAGGGCCGTGAGGGCAAGATCACCTCCGTGTACCGTCTCAAGTACGTTGTCCACGTCGAGCGTGTCACCCGTGACAAGGCCAACGGCCAGTCCGTCCCTCTGGGCATCCACCCTTCCAACGTCGTCATCACCAAGCTTAAGCTTGACAAGGACCGTGAGGACATTCTGGCCCGCTCCAAGGTTGGCCGTGAGCTCGCTGCCAACAACAAGGTCACCGCTTAAGCGATGAACTTGTCGAGCAACAACAAAAACCAAAACTGAACTTTCAAGACGGCATGATCAAACCTCCCCTCCCTGGCGAGGGCGAATCTTTTCTTTTTTCACCACTCACAATTACGACACCAATGTGAGCAACATCAAGGGCAAAAGTTGATGAGGGAATGGGCATAATACTCCGGCGTTTTGCGATACCTGCGTGCTTTCCTTCTAACGGCGCGGTACCCGGTCTACAGCAGGGTAGATGAATTGAGAATTTTTAGGGTTCTCAATGGCCATTTCACTCACTGGTGAAATGCTCCATGGGAGGTTTATCCCGAAGTCTTGACCTGCTCTCTCCCACATGCACAATCGCGAGTACCCTCGTGATGTTCTGCTGGACAGATGCTCAGTCCCATCTGCCCCTCGTAGGATGCTAACTCAATATCAGACGCATACAATGCTTGTCTGTCGTAGACTGCAATTTCGCACTTTGGTGCCTTCTGACGGTAAGTCCGTAGACTTTCAATCTTTCAACCCACCGCTAGGATATCTCCGCGTCAACCACTTAGATCCATGGTTTTCGAGGTATACGTCTAGCGAAGAATAAACTCGACAGGACCCAACACTATCATGGGGTCCTGTTCTCCCTAGAAGATTTTCACCGAGTTGCCAATGAGGCTGGAAATTTGAAGGTGAGGTACATGCTGTATAACCTATTGCTTTTATACACTTGCCGAGTCAGTTCATGTCCGGCTATAAATACATAAACATTGCCTATATACAGAGCACTATTCGAGCTTACCTGTGTACACTTGCATGCAGACTATCATGAGTCGTCAAATCACGTCGAGCAAGGGATCAGTTAATAGCAAGGTCGTTCGTGAGCAAATATGTTCTAATCGTACAAAGTCCGTCATGCCTTTAAGCATAATGTGATTTCCGTACAATACAGCCATGCGTTCAACAAGAATGATCCATCTCCCTCATAATAACCCCCCTGGAGTCTGTTCCTCGCCCTTGAAAATCTTAACATATTATTTATTCTAACACTGATGTCGCCTGGACGCCTGTCTGGGTAGGCGCTGTAAATAATGAGATGTTGGCGATCACAACCAAATGCAAAGGGTCGCCCATTAGACCCAGTCGCGAGTAAACGCATGCGTCACCACATGCTTCATGCGAAGAAGATTGTGCAGCGAGTCGTACAAATCGTAACCATGAGCAATGTTTGATGCTTACTGGAAGCCTTGCGAATGTAGCACGATATGTGTCGCGACCAAGAAAGAATGTGGATGTTGCGAAAAAGTGTATACATGAATCTGTTCAGCGAGTCGAAACCGTGTGCTGGTTGCCGTCATGGAAGCTAACGCTGCGGAGCTGCCGGTCAAGAAGCTCGAGAGGGGGCCTGTTCTCCTCACGTCTTCCAAGAGTAGGATGAATTGTAGGGGAGCAGTTTATATCGCCATGTCTGACAGACTGGCCACGAGAGTTGGTGGTGATGGTTGGAGTCAGGGATGCAGTGGCATGACCCGAATAGTGAGGAAGCACACCTTGGGCTGTCATCGGCGAGACCTGACCAGCAACCACATTGGCACTCGTTTTGCCTTTCTTGCGCATGGTCGACCAGATATCACTTGGATATTTGCTGGCGTAAAGAAATTAGCATTGTCGCTTCGAACGGGACAGTTACTGACGTACCTGGCAGCGCGATCCTTTACTCGGCGCCCTTTAAAGATCAGACTACCCTCTTCCTCACCCGAGTCGTCGGAGACTTTGACGTGGAATTTTCCATTGGAGACTTGCGCATTCTCATCGATGGCAAGACGAAAATCTAGGTACCGGGAGCCAGCGTGAACAGCGTGAGACTCAGAGCGAGGAAACTCGGAGCTGGAGCTCGCACAGAGGGAGTCATTAGTACGGTGTAACGACTCAGACCGAGTGGCCTCCTCGAACCTCTGGCGAACAGAACCTCTGGCGGCATGACCTACAGTATGGAATGGTCCCGCACTTCCGGACTTTATCGATGATGGTCGCGTCTCGACCGGGTTGGACAGGTTTCGAGAGGCAGTTTCGCCAGCACGCACAGGATTTTCCTTGACAATGGGAGCGTGATAGAAGTCCTTGCCATCATACTTGGGAAGGCCGTCTTGGAAATAGTGAGGTGTCTTTTCCCAGTAGATGTATCGAGCACGCTCTTCATCTGCTGTCAGCTCACGGTCGTAGGTGTAGTCATTACGCCGGGCGTCTTGTGGCAGGACTCCTGGCTTGAGCTTGCCCACGAGATAGGGATGGCCCAAATTGTTCTCGGCCTCGATTTCCTTGGTGAAATAAGACGATCGCCAAGAGGCAGCGCCCTTGTACATGCTCTCCCAGTGCCGAGAACGTGCGGATTCATCAATCTGGTCAGTCGCGACGAAAGAGTCATTCATTTCTGATCGAGGCTGGAAGACTGGTGCCAGAGCAGCATTTACTGGAAGGCTTGAAGGCTTTCGTTGCTGTCCATTGTTCTCCAAAGTGTTATTGGGGTTCTTGGCCGAAGCAACCGTCGCAGCCGGCTTCGATGGACTGAGACTACTCACAGAGTGAACCTGCGTCCTGTTGGTATGCGGTTGAGTTCCCAGGCCCGGGTTCGACATTGTGTTAACAGCGACAGGGGTATCAGAATCACTACGACTATGAGGGTAGTCAGTGGATGAGTTTGAGTTGGCCTCACCCACAGATTCAAGCTTGGGGTAGTGTCTGGCCTCAAATTCAATCTGTGTGGCATACGAGCGCTCAAACTTCTCAATCTCGAGACAGATCTTTTGAAGCCGATCCTCCATGTCTTGAAGATCGATTTGGTGCTTATTGTATTGAAGCTGATCTTGATGATACCTCTTTTGACTGCGAAGAACCTCGAGCTGCTTCTGAGTGATGGAACTGGGACGAATTGACGAATAGGGAGGACTGGTAGAGCGAGACATATCATCCGCAGTAGTCTGCAAGGTGATAGGCGACGGGTCGAGCGGTCGCGAAGACACGCGGGTATACTTTGACGAGGGAACGATAAAGTCACCACTTGAGCGAGAGGCGGGTTGGTTAGGCATATGTGTGGGAATAAAACCCATCTGGGGAGGCATGTTGATGGGATACAACGTGTTTCCGTTTGCAACCAACCACTGCCCATTGAAGAAGAATGGTCGTGTAGGATCAAACTGCTCTACCGGCGAGAGGTGGACGTTTCGTGCAGGTTCCATACCCGCCTCAGGAGGCTTACTGAAATAGCTAGCTTGGCTTGGGTGTGGAAGAGGAACACCAGAAGGAGGGAACTGGTTGTAAGGGACAGCAGCCATGTTGTAGCCCATAGCAGGAGGTGCCATGAAAGTGTAGCCTTCAGGGGGTCTCATAGTCATCCCAGGCATAGTACCTGGTGCTTGGGGAGGAGCCATGGCAGTCATGTGTCCCCAACTGGGAGGTAAAACAGGATAGGCAAAACCCTCAGACTGATTGCCATTCATAGTGCGGGCATGCGGCTGACCGTCGAGCGAGCTGCGTTCTCGATTCCACTTTGATGTGGGAGACTGCGGCCCACGAGTATTGGGCACGATTCGACCGCCAGCAGTGACTCGTACATGAGTAGGAGAGACGACGGAGTTGTAGAACTTCTGAAAGCCCTTTGATTTCTGGCTGGAAAGGTCGGCTGGTGCCACCATAGGTGCCCGTTCGAGCTCAGAATCGCTTCGAATTCGATACTTGCGCTCCGAGTCGGTACCATCAAGCTGCTGAACAGCGCCTTGGCGATGTCGATCATCTGAGTCACTAGAACCGCCGCTCTCCTCAACGATAAGGGATAGCGAGCGTGCAGGTTCGGTACGAATGATTTCTCCTGTTTGGCAATCAGATTCTGGTCGGGAAATCGAAAGACGAATTATGCTTACCCAATTCATGGTCTTCGTCAACTCTTTGACCGAGTTTATAGGGAACCTCTTTGGCAGGCGAGTGCGTACGGCGCAAACGCAGTAAATCTTTGGCGGAGTATCTGAAAGTCTTCATCTCGAATTCATTCGAAGTACCGTAGAAGAACCGTCGATCAGCTATGTAGAAGATCATCTTGTTAGCAAGGGGCCCCAAATAATAGCGAGAAAGCAAAAATAAACAGGCATGTCCTGTATTGTTGACGACAGAGACACCGAGAAATCAGGTTCTGGGTGTTAGCAGAAGGAGAAAACAAAACCACAAGTCTTGAGTGGTCTAGGCACTGCCCCGCCATTTCCAATTAGAAGGGGATCTGGAGCGCTGGGCCTGGACGCTGCAATAAAAACCATTACGGTCCTGCCAGTTGTGTGGAAGTGCAAGCGGGCCGGTAGCAAAAACAGTCCAGATAGGGGTATATGAGAAAGAGATGGATGTCAACTTACTGATATGTGTCGGCAGCTAAAACAGCAAACAGTAGATAATGCAAACAGAACAGAGCCCTTGTATGTTGGGCGTTTAACTTCAATGACAATGTCTCGATGTAAATGCCAGATAGGGAGCGTTTCTGGCGGAGACTCACAGCGACAGCGAGGGATCGTGAACGAAAGCAAAGGTTGGAAAGTCGAAAGAAACAGTGAGGATGACAAGAGAAAGGTTTGAAGACTGGGGATGAAGATGAAGATTAGAGACTGGTTTGGGCTCGTGTGCAACGGGGAAGGCGGCACATAGGTCAAGCAAACGAAAGAGGCAACTCACTTCGTGATCTTGAGCTAAGGAAGGAGCACCTTCCACTCCTTGAAGCATATGATGAAGCTCCTGCAGTGAGCTGGAACAGATAGCAACGGTAGCTCCTGAGCAATATGAAATGAATGTTCAACAAGTCTCACTTGTAGTGGTGAGCGGCAGGAACCTAGCCACAGAAAGGTAAGTGAAAATTGGAAGGGAAAGAAGGCGAAGGAGAAGGTGGAGATGGAGAGAGGACAATTATCGAGCAAGGGGATAATGGCTACACAAGCCAAACACGAAGGTGAAGAGAAAAGAAGTAAGAAGAAAGGAGAGAGGATCGATTGGCGTGATAGGGAAAGCAGGAAAGGTCTTCGAAGGGAAACGTATCGGTAATATGTGGTATTAAGCGATGATGCTGGTGATAGTGTTCGAGGCAAGAAGAAAGAATAGCAAAGACACAACCGCAAAACAGATTATTGAAAGTAATTGAATTGATCGATATTTTTACACACAGGACATGAAACACTCGACCTCTTGCTCCGAGGTTGGAGAATGTACTTGGAAGGAATAACTAGCTTATACCTCGAGGAACTCAGATATATGCCAACAGAGACTATACAGACAAGGTTCTGCCCTATATGACGGCAGTTAGTAATACGGGCGTCCGATCCATAGGGTGGAAGAGATGGATGAAGGACCATTCACTTCATATCGATCACTGAGCTCTCTTGATTCAAGGCAAGAGGGCATTCAAGCTCGCCATGATAAATAACCTCAACTAACCACTCAATGAACAAACCTGTGCAGAGCGTGTTTGAGAACACGCGATTGTTGTGCGAGCCATGCGTCTAAGAGTCGGGGTGATCCGAAATCAGTATCCAACCGGGCCTGAAGATAAGTCTGGTAGAAAGCGAGTTTCGCCATGAGATCTGCTGTTATTGTATTGGTCTTATTGTAGACTTTGATCACGAATACATGCTGCCTCAATGGAGAAACAATCGTGGCTGTTAAAGAACCGGACAACAGATCTTTACCTCGAATCAAAAACTGGCCAGCGAAGAGGTTCTCATTAGCTAACAATAGTAAATATGTGAACAATGTATAATGAAGGACACTGACTATCACCTTGTTTAAAAGACAAGTAGAACTCAGTAGTTGACCACTGGTTTATCACTAGGCCATGGATTGGGGATCAACTTGGATACGAAGGAAGAACAATATTTGCCATCACCCTGCCATGAATCTATAGACAGTGTCTATGATACCAAGATATCGACATAATTCCGAGATACATATATGTTTCCAGTCTGCTATGCTGGAACATGGAAGGAAGATGTCGATCTGAAGAGGATTGAATTAAAAGACAATCAAATCCAAGACCCAAGTTGCATACCTAAAAAGCAACGCTATGTTGATTGTGTTGGATTGTCATTACCTCGGTTCAATGGGGGCCGATAGGAATAAGTAGGGGCCCACCCGAAACCATGATACGGCTCATGAGATGTCAATGCCGAACTCGACCGAGACATTGGATGTCATGAGCTCACTATCTAGTACCTAAACTATTCTATTGTCTCACCCAAGACCCAAGATTACCCCGCCATCACCCTCCATTGTGTTGTGCTTGTCAATACCCCTCCACACCACCAGTGTAATGTGATATCCTGATATCCTATCAGGGGTCACCCAATTAATAATAGGTCGTGAATGGTAAGTGGGGGTTTTATCTCGTCATGATACAGACCTTCCATCTCATGCCACCTTCAATTCAGCAAATATCTCTCATAAAGGGTATCATACATAGGTACCTACTCGATAATCTATCAATCTCCATCACAGACAAGACAATACCTAGTGCTTTTGAAGGATTGCCACTACGCTACTCCGCATCCTTCCTCGGCCCCGCGCTTCACTTCAAGTTTACCCCGCTAACCGAGACCCAAGTACCCATCCGAGATCAAATCAAGACTACCTACAGTAGCTACTAGACTCTGGCTAAGTACCTACCTATGAATTGCTTCGGTGCTGCGGAACTCGAGAGCCATTGGATGTCAATATGCAGCTAACCAAGGTACAGCAACTATGCGGGCATAAGAGTCACCTTCGAAAACTCGGTAGGTAGATAAGAGAACTCGAATCTCCCTCTTATTTTGTAGTGTCTTGGCACATTGATTTGATTCATACTTCGAAAGCTCTCAGAAACCAGCTCCACTTGCAGCCGTAGACCGAGGTCCCCCAAAGCTATCTCTTGATAACAGTTGTCCAACCCTTCCGCATACTTACTTCAATTGCGTGTTTTGCCCAACAGATCTCATATTATTCAACCTGACTCACTTGACCAGTTATCTCAGACTCGACCTTGAAGTTTCACTACTACCCTAAACCATCGCAATGGCTCCTCTCACTCCCCACTGGCATCAGCCCTCTCACCCCGACATCCAAGAAGTTGTTGTCGTAAATGCCCAGGAATTCACCACCAAAAGCATCTCTCGTGTATCTCTCCCACCCTTTGCTGTATTTGCAAAGTTCGACTTCCCACCTTGCACACCTGCTAGCGAAGCCACATACGCTACTGTTCAGACCGGTCGCGATACTCACCTCAACCTCAACAGCGATCTGCTGTATATCAACCATTCTTGTGAACCTAGTCTTGTTAGTTAACCTGATCGAAGGGTACCACTGAATAAAAAAGTCCCTGGGGATTTCGTTCGAGTTCTCTTGAGTTGACATTGGAATATAGCTCTTCGATGTAGGAAACCTGAACATTCTTGTTGGCCCTAAAGGTCTCGAGGTCGGAGATGAACTTACAGTCAGTACAATTCATATGCAATATTTTGAGACAGAGACTGATGATAAACCTAGTTCTTCTACCCCTCGACTGAATGGCATATGGCTCAGCCCTTCGACTGTCTTTGTGGGACACCGTCCTGTCGTGGTCGCATCTCAGGCGCACAAGACATGGCTGAATCGCAGCTCCGGGGCATTTGGCTCAACGGACACATCATACAGCTCCGTGCCGAGCAGGTTGCGCGATCTGAGGACCCCACGGCGAATGCCCTGCGCGATGCAGTCGTTCATGCCGAGAAGGTTCTGGAATCAGCCCGTCTTGCCCTCCGCTCTTACAATAGCAATGCTCACGCCCAAAACGGAAATGGTACTGTCTCCTCGAAGCGTGTCAACGGATCCATTGGAAAAGCTGCAGGATTGGAACATCGCGGCCCAACCTCTCGTGAGTTGAGCGGAGAGATGGGTGGTGATACTGTCTACGCTTGAACGCCAGGAGCTCCGACGGTGGCAACGGTCAGACGTTGCTGCTGTTGGAGTACCTGTCGGTGCGAGATAAGTAGATAGCTAAGCAGTAAATCAGTTCGTGCAAATTGCTTGTCATACTGGAATCGAACGGTGACAGTAGACACTTCCTTCTTCTGTTCATAAAAGACACTCCTGAAGTACTAACAACAACAAATGTAATGGTAAGAATAAAGGCGTCGCCCCCGACTTCGATTTATATATCTTGGGCTACCTGTAAAGGTACCGCACATTCCACACCTGCCTGAATGCATAGATCAACTTGTATCGACAACAAAGTCCATCTATAATAGCGACTCCCTACCAGCCAGACTACCACAGGCTCTGAGACTTTTACTTTCTTCGTTTCAAATCATTTCACCTATTCCAAGAACTGCGACCCTTCTCAAAACCAGAGCCGCCAGTGTACTTGGACTCTTCTATCTCTCACCCAGTTCTTTCCTGACTACGGCGTGCCAGGAAAGCACGTGCAAACTTCCACGCTTCCTTATCAGCTAAACTCCAGGTTTTAAGCGATGCCCGCCGTCGAGTTTCGACGGTTGGTATCCTGGAAGCTACAACCTTTCTTAGTATGTTTTAAAAGGGATCTTTCTCTGGTCTGTCTTTCGTGCGGGGTGAGCTACTTCACGCTCGGTGTATCTTCCGGTCGGGGTTGAGACTTGTTCAGTCTTGTGTCAATACCGGATGAATCTGCTCGCTCCGATCTTGCTGCATCGTCGACTGCGACATTTCCTTGCTTCTCCTTTTCTTCGGATTGGTGACACTTGCCATATGTGCCTCACGTGAGGCCTGGGGAATTCGAAATCCAAACTGCCACTTCAGATCGGAGGGAATATCGGCTTCAGCTGTCAGCCAAAGTGCATAGGTAGTTGCGTGCCCATCTACTACCGCTTGATCCAAATTCGTCATCCACGAATTACTGGTGGCTTTTTAACCCAGTAGGCCCTTAGTGATCGCTTCTAGGGCATTAGAAAGTTTGGCTACTAAGAATCTACAAGATAGGCAATGTAAGTAAGTAATACATTAGCACTTGGGTTACTTTAAATTAGTACTCTAAGCCTTGGAGGTCAATTCTTCCGCTGCTGCATAGTAGCCCGTCTGTCATAGGTATCCTCGATTCACTGTCAAGGTGCAGCATGGGCTGGCGTCAGAGTGTCAGAAGAATTGACCGCTAAGAGCATAAGAGACGAAATAATTTGATCATCTTATGCGAGCTTAGGCTAGTAGTTATGCGACTTTATTTCTGTAGCCTAGGCCTTGGAGGATAATTCTTCTGTTACCCGCCCAGGCTGGATATGTATTTCTTGCTTTCACTATTTTGTGTATTATTACTCTATCAGACGATGTACCGAACTATATAGGTAGTGACCGACTATTACTTCTGGCAGTTACTGACTCTTGTTTCCTGTAGCTGCTAACCCCTACTCCTCAACTCAAGCAAATCCCCATCAGCTCAGCTCCATCATTACCTCTCACTAGCCATCATGGACTTCAGCATTTCAAGATCGGAGGGAACCTGCCAGCCGTGAGCAGTGGCAGCGCGATGGTACGCATCTATAGCTTCAAACACATTATAATCCTGGGCATTCATTGCCCTGTCGGACTGCTCGAGGCGAGCGGGCGGATCCTTCTCGCACAGGTTCATTCGAACTTCAAGGAACACCTTCTCCAGTGACAGTGCTGGGGACCATCCCGAGTTTGTCAAAAGCTCTGAACAGATCGATCCCCCCATCGTGACATGACCCCCACCCCCCTGGGCAAAGGGTACAAACCGCGGGCGAATTACACGCACAAATGGGGGAGAGATGGGAAATGATGCACCGAACCGGACCTCAATCACAATGCTCGAGCATCCGCAGCGTACCATGTCTTGGGCTAGGGCAAGATCCATATCGAAACTGTGGAGCTCAACAATCCAATGGAATAGGTTATCAAGCCTTTCGAAATCGATATACCACCCCAGTGTAACTAAGTTGGTATTTGACTGTATCTTTTGCAGATCTTTGATCTGACTGCTCAGGGCTCGGAGAGCCACTGGAGAGGATGCGGCCCAGGTAGGCTCTGCGAGTTTGGGCAGAGAGTCTAGATCAAGCTGGCCTGGCTGGAAAAGTGTGACATTGTTGGATTGCCATGGGAACTGGTTCTGGGTAGCCAGCAGCCGCGCCTCGCCGAGCCCTGAGTCAACGGACGTCCGCCTTCGCTTTCGCCCCGATGTTGGTTGTGTATCACCTTCATCATCTGAGGCAAGAAGCTCATCCAGATAGCTGTTAATTTCAGCTCTATGATCAGACTCTTCGACTGTAGTAGTGTAATCTTGTGAAGAACCTACAGCCTCTGCTGTATTGTGCCTAAGCATACGTCGAGACGTCGACAAGGCGGATTGAGGGATCGAAACCGACTGCAACCCGCATCTCAGTGAGTGAGTAGGGTCTTGTTCGATATAGACTGTTGGTTGTATACTTTGAGGTGTCGCATTCGCAGTTTGGGGGTTTGACGGCGGCGTTGTGTCAACTCGAATGAAGAGATATCGGCACTGTATCCAGTCGACACGATCGACAACGAAGTAGGGGGATGTCGATACAAAGCGACCGGTGTCGTTGACTATCTCACATAGGGTTATAGCACTGGTAATTTCAAGAGCCGAGTTTCGCCACAGTCTCCCATCATGCCTTGAGTATGAGAAGCTGGTATCAAAATCCTTTGCGAAGTAGACGCCGTTACCGTAAGCACGTCCATTGACGGTTTCGGAGAAGTCAAGCCCAGTTCGAATGATACTGTGCCAATTCCCGAGACTGCTACCATGCCAGGCAAAAAGGGTAGGGTATGGCTTTCCGTTATTAACTCTTTGAATCAGCTCTCTCAGAAACATCTGTTCTTTCTCGGGCGACCCTTGCACAAAACGGAATTGCACCCATCCATCCGCCATGCCATCAACAAGGTCATCGTGCTTGAACGGCTCTTCCCCTGGCTGGGATACCCCAGGTATGGGTGCGTCCTGCACAATGAAAGATCTGTTCGAGGCGACAATCCAGTTTAGAAGGCTAACAGTCGATGTGTCCATTCGCTGCCATGACGACAACTGGTGTCCCGGATGGCTTGTCAAATATTCTTTCATTTCTTGCACAGGTGGAATACACTCGCACATGACAGTAAGTGCTTGGTAACGCTCCGTCACTTCGAGGTCGTCAATATCTTGTTCATGTTTATACACAAGCGCTTTCTCCCAGGTTGGATCTGCATAGCCTGTTTGAGAGGCTGCTTGAGAAGTAGGGTTTTTCCAGTCATCTTGAACGTTGGGGGCTGTGTGTGTCGAAATGATCTCGAAGGTCAAATCGGTAGCTTTGCAAGATTCGATCACGCAGATATGCTTTCGGCAAGATCCTCGCATGATTGGCATGGTTGATGCCTGTACGGATAAGATCTGACTTGATGGGAAAAGAGTGATGAACTGTCCCTTGGCGATGGACCTGTATTTCGGGTAGTCGAGGCTATCGCACCTAATAGTCTTGCTCTCGAAGCATACTTCTGCCGAGAGTGGTTCGATTTCACTTGGTGCGGGTGCGAATGCTGATGCGGCACATTTAAGTCCAAGGCCCATGGGAAATTCGCGAAGTCGGTTACTGGTTATGGCGGCGTAGAAGAAACTGACAAGAAGGTCGACGACGTTGGGGTTGTTGACGATTTCGTGCTCGATACTTTGGCAAAATCCGAGTGACAGGTATTGAAAAAGGCAAAGCTGGCTTTCGCAAACAAAAGGCTTGATAGCCTCGATTGAATTCCCTGTTCTTCGATGACAAACAAGGCAGTATTTCGGGCAATTGACTAGTCTCTGAAGACTGAATTGCATTGCTATCAAGATGATGTTGAGAGCGTCTGCATCTCTTGATAGATAATTCCGTTCTAAAAGTTCTAGGTCAAACTGGTCGGAGCTCTCGTCATGATTCTTGACGGCATTCATATCATAGGTGCCCGTGCTCAATTCAGCATACAGTTCTTGCGCTTGGTCCCATGAAATCCCCTCTGATAGTCGCAGGCGCAGGAGCTTTGGAAACTCCTTGTTTAGAAGGGTATCGAAGGATAAAGACATGCAAAGAGGGAGGAATGGACTTGAAGATTCATCCCTGCTTTTGATCTGTTCGTCTGCACTTTCCTGGTCGTCGCCTTCGAATAATCGTGTAGCAGATATGGAGGACGGGTTCGGGCTGGTACATTTACCAAAACTGAACTGTATAATGCTGCGGTCGGAGGGTTCTAAGAACGTTGAGAGTAGGGGGTATTCCGATGTTAGTTTGAACATCATGACAACGTAGTCCGATGGATTGAGCCCCCACGCTTCCAAAGCTTCTTCAGGGATCTTCAGCTTCGAGGCATGTATAGAAAGTGAGAACTTGTGGAGGCCTCCGTGTTCTCTATCCTCGACTGGAATCCATAGATGATATCCTTCGCTTCTTGCTTCTCGTAGGTGGCGTTTTAATCGTCCTGTGATAGCAGCAGCAACAGCAACAGAGGGGTCCTCATTGCACAACGATGGTTCCCTCGCCGGAACAGGATCAATATCCATATCATCAAACTCGGTTTCATAGAAGGATTCCTCGTCGTCGTCGATATCGGAAGTGGTGGAGTCTTCATGTGAGATATAGCCGTCAAGCTGAGATGAAGACTCTAGCTTTTTTGTCAATCTATCCGAGATCAAGGCGATGACACCTGTGACACTCTTGCCGTTGGCTAGATCAGATATTTCCTGCAACCACTTTTCCAGGCCGACGACAGGTTCTTCGGACGGGGTGAAGATCAGGAAGCTTGAATGTCTGGGGTATGCTTCTGGTTCTGTTGACAGGGCTTGGATCTCGAGGGGTGATTCTGCATGAGTGTAGGTGTGGGTGGAGGCGTAGGTGTAGGTAAAGGCGATCTCTCCGTCAGAATCCCCCTTGCGGAGATTAGAGACATTAGGAATAGGAAGCTCGCCGCGGTTGGCTGCTTCTATGGCAGCTTTGGCGTCGTCGTTGAACTGTTTGATGCCCATGACTCGTCCGTCCGTCCGAATAGCTTGTCTGAATGTTGAATTTGAGATGGAAGATTGCAAGGCACAGCCCGGCCGCGTTGATATAAGGCAGACAGCTAACCCTAATATTAGAGTTGATATGGAAAGAAGGTTGATAGGAGACGAAATATTTGGTCGCCTTATGAAAACCTTAGAGAATGATTATTTTTTTACCTAAAGGTTGGTAGTAGTATGAAAGCAAAGAGGAAAGTTAGGTATAACCTGCAAGTGCCCGGCCATGATGGGCTTCTGTTGGCAGCTGGTGGACACTGCTGCCTGCCTGGTAGGTATGGATCTCGCAGGCTGGTACCTAGGTAACATCAGAATTATCTCCTAAGGCTTAGGCTACCATAATAAAATAGCCTAAGTGCTAGTCTACACCAGAATAAGTGACCAAAGTATTTTATAGGATCTCCGGGTTAATTCTTCTGATACCCTGAGAGCAAGTCGGGCAGGCAGGTACCAGCTATCCATCCATCACGAATGTGGGGTAAAGTTTGCTTTTAGGTTGTTTCAAGGTTCCATGCACATATTCGTAGATACTATCTACTGGGCAGAGCAATCAACAAATCTGAGCAATTAGGTGGTCTTGATAAAGAATAGGCAAACTCGTTGAAGTGAGAATGCTGTTGATATCTATATCTATATCCACTACCTTCCCTACATAGATATAGATCCATGAGCCTAGTTACAGAACCCCTGATCAGCCTTACCAATTAGCGTATGTGGAGGAGCCTAGCGGTCGATCCTTTTGCCTGGGGAAATAGAGTTCTAGTGCTACAGAAAAGTACAAATACTTTCATTAAAGACATCCCCATGGATACACTGTTGCCTGGTACTCTACTCTATTAAAGCTAAGTTCATTTTAATCGTCCAGGTAGGTACCTTCTAGAGAAATGGATATGGGGTTCAACACAAGCACATACGCTATATGTACAAACACTTGTATCTATCCGTATACCTACCTCGCTTGATGCTAGCAGGTGGATAACAGAAAAGTTACCTAGGTAGGTATCCTCAAAGGCTTAGGCTACAGGAATAGAGTAGTCTAAGTGCTAGTCTAAGCTAACATAAGGTGACTAAATTATCTCCATCTCTTATGCTCCTTGGGGCTAATTTTTCTGACACCCTGAGGGCTAGTGAGTGACCACCATTAACTGAGTAGGTACTAAGATCCATTACTTGCATTGCTTCTAAAAACTCCTGTAGACGGTAGATCTGAAGGTAATGGCTGCATTGTATGTTCTCATTCAAGCCTCCTCCCTCTTCTCCCTTCGCAACCACCTTCCCTCTCAACTTCCTTTGCAATCTGTTGCGGGAAACTCGCTTGATTCACCTTCAATGTTATATTCCACCCTTCTCAGATGCTTCTTTGTCCTAGTAATGGAGAAGCTGGTTGCCCATCATTCACCACCAGATTTCCACCAGACTCTACTATTCCATGTCTCCACGGACTCGTAACCGTCAACTGTCGCTATCGCGCCATCATGGCCCAATGATTATCGATCGATATCTTCTACGACAGACAATGCCGCTTCGTCTCTCGTCGTCTGACATATCTCACCCTTGTTCTCATCGTATTTGTCTATGCCTTCTCTACTAACCTGTTTCCAACTGTCGTTCCAGTCGAGGCTTTCGAGGATACTGCAAAGCGGGATGCTTCAAACAAGATCAAGGACTCCGTATCTGGTTTTCGCGACTCTCTTACTCAGTGTGCTATGGTACTGAATCCGTTCAAAGACCTGTCCATGGCCCGCTGGTTCGTGCGCAAGACTCATTTCAGGACGGTTCTTGGTGGTCAGATTAGAAATGGCTGCATGTTTCATTGTCCAGCTCGCTCACACTTGATGAGGATAGGGCCCTTCTCCCCCCCGGTCCATGACTGACGCTTGATTTATTGCTACTATGACGCTGCTGTCAAGAAGACGAGAGAATGAAAGGATCCTGAAAACAAGCTACCGTTAAGCTGGCGTCGCGCTTGCTGGTCGCAGGACTTCAGGCCAACCATTTAGGGCCCTTCGGAAGCCATGACAAATACAAAGATTTGAGGTGCGATCTGAGTTGAAGGCTGGCCTGATGAGGTAGCTAGCTTGAAATTCTATGACTACTGACTTTCTAGTGGATTATTCCCTATTTTTACTTGTATATATCCGAGATCCTCTCTTGGTCTTTCTCAGATGAGGTGATTATCTGTTGATGATGAAGTGGAAAGGATCAGAAGGTGCAATTGTCGTAGGATTGAACCAAAACCATTGAGAAACTGATGGATTCTTCCATACTAAAGACTATCATGAATGTCATTGAGGAGTTGGTAAGGAGTGATTTCAAGATGGAAAATGTACAAAACTCATTGGTGAATAACAGCCCAGAACTTACGAATTTAAAAGAAATACCCTAAAGTACATGATAGTATCATGAATACCTAGATGGGCTGGAGGGTTGGGTGCTCTTGGCCGGTTACTAAATGCTTATCCATATGTTGCTTGGTAGATCAATTTCCCCTATGGTATCGAGGTTTTCAAGTCCTTTCCCGGATACATTATGGAGATGAACGCTCCTGCTTTTCAGCTCGCTAAGTCTCTCGTCTTTTGTCTTGATAATCCCGCCCTTTCGTCTTGTCCCCCTGGTGTCTCGAGCTGTGATCGCCGTACTGTCAATACTATATCGGTGAAGGTTGGTAGGTCTGAGCAGTATCAGAATCTCACTGATACGTTCGTGGTTGAGATGATCCCCCACCCCTGGACTCTTGTCACTTAATCGACCAGGTAAGGAGAGGGTCAATATCAGCTGGATTCGTCAAGAGGCTCCTCGCAACCTTTGGCTGGAACACAACTCAATAAAGAATGTATAAATATCAACTAGATCGTACACTTCTCATTTACTCTTTGGAGATTAATTCAGTTACAAGGGGTTAATTGTAGTAGCAAGAACATGGGATATTGATGTTCAAACTTTTTTTGTCTTCCATTTTTAATTGTATTCAACAGTATTGCCATTTGCAGGGCTAACTGAGCGCCAACCTAGGCCCCAGTAATAATGAAATAGCAGCTGGGTCTACAGCTTTCCAGACTTTGGGTTGATCTAAAGCTCTACGTTTTAGTTTTACTCCTATGCAATTGCAGAGCTGGTGAGTAACACAGGCCTTGGATGAATATTCTTTCGTTGTCATCCCCAAAACATACCACCTCATCTCTGACCGTTGAAGAAAGAGGAGATACAGATATCAGACCTTGATAGATGTATGGGAATTTTCGTGTAGAGCAAGAGAGAAGAATATGGGCCCGGGAAAGGAGGTAGCAAAATAGTCTAGGTTCAGGAGCAGTTGAAATTGTGCAGCACAGCAGAAAGCAAGAAAACACGTGCCCAACCCACGCTGCAACCGTTCAACCAGATCCTTTCCTCCCATAGTCTTCATCGCACACGGTTGTGTGCCAGTCCAGGTACCTCATTAGATGAGTGTAAATGGGAAATATCGAGAAACAATGCCAGCAGAGTAAATCTGGCAAACGACACATGCAATATAATAAGAGACCCCAAATGAACTCCAAGCAAGAATATCCCGGATCATTCAAATGTGCCGAAGGGCGGGATAAGCTCCTGCGACAATTGATGGCAACAAGCGAGATTTGCCTGGTCCAAAGTCAGATTTTCTTTTACTCTCCGTACCAGCATACAGGCAAACATGCCCTTAAGTAACCGGGTTTGGAATCTGGGACAAACCATACGTTTAGTATTGACATCTCAATTGTGCTGGAACAGCACACTGATAGACTCTCCGTGGTGAACACGGCGAATTGCCTCTGCAAATACTGGAGAAATGTCAAGGACCTCGAGCTTGGGGCATAGTCGGCGGTGCTCTTCTTGAGGAACCGAGTTGGTAACCAGCATTTTGTCAATAGAAGAGGCGTTGATACGAGCAATGGAATCGCCGCTGAATACTCCATGTGTGACGAGAGCGTAAACCTTAGTTGCGCCCTCCTTCTTCAGGAGCTTCGCTGCGCGGGTGATCGTGTTACCGGTATCGATGATGTCGTCGACAAGGATGCAGATGCGATTAGAAACATCACCAACTAGCATCATACTCGCATTTCGGTGCTCGGTGAATCGTATAGGGCGTCGCTCCTTTAAAGTATTAGATGAGCTTTGGTCGTCTTGGGAAGGACCAGAGGTTGACGGAATTACCTTGTGAATCAAAGCAAAGTCTGTCTTTAGACTGTCGGCGATCAAAGTGGCTCGCTTGGCACCCCCAGCGTCGGGAGAAACGATAACGGCGTTTTGATGACCCTGAATGTTAGTCTGAATATAGTTCTGTAGCAGGGCTTTTCCGTAAAGATTGTCAACAGGGATGTCGAAGAAACCCTGGTATTGAGGATCGTGGAGGTCCATGGTGATGATGTGATCGGCGCCAGCGCAGGTAAGCAAGTCGGCGACAAGAGTACCAGCCTGGGCAATCCATTGCTTATAGCCTGGTTTAGGCTGGAAGACGGAAATGTTAGACTGGTTTTCGTAGTCGTGTGTGGTATAGGCACTTCGCTGCGAGGAGGTCGAGTTTTCGGGCTGGTGTCCACGGTTTTCGGAAGTGGTGCTTGAGAAAGTGTCTGAACGACGAGGTGTTGGGTAACCATTGGTACCGTTTACACCATTGGCAGCATCGATGGCAGTTTTTGAGAGCTTCTCGGTCAAATTGTTGACACCATTGGGTAGCCCAGCCGACTTAGGACCACCGGGACGGGGTGTAGGGGGAACACTCTCAAATGTGTAGTCCTTAGAAGCGCCGGAAACTTGCGACAAAGGAGCGCCGGCTTTGTTGTAAGGCCAGTCAGGCTGTCGGGAGTAAGGGAAGAGAGGCACAACGGCAGTCACTCGCTTCGCGGAACCGGTTTTGCAAGCCGAAATCATGATACAAAGATCGATGAGGTTGTCGTTAACGTTGCCGGAGCCGGATTGTATGATATAAACATCTTTACCGCGGACCGAGTCCTTGATTTCGCAACGGCTCTCGCCGCCGCTGAATTTTCCAAGGATGCGATTGCTGGCTGGAACACCAAGAATTTGACAAACATTTTCTGTGAGTTGCGGGTGGGAGTTACCTCCCAGAACAACGATATTGCGCACCATGTTGACAGTGAGGTTGGGTGGATTTGAAGTTGAAGTAGAGGTTGTCGGCTAGACGAGCAAAAAGTTTTGACTGCGGCGAGGGACGGAAGCGGAAAACGGGGTGTGTGCGTGTGGAGGGGCCCCGAATCGGAGGGGTGAGTACGTAGTTTTCTTTTTTTATGAGGGGAAGAAAGTGATCGAGTCAAGAGCTTTCTAGCGGTGGAATGGACCTTCGGTTGAGGTTGATGAGAACGGGGAGATTGGAGGTAAAAGAGATATGACTGAGACAAGCCGAAACGAGTCGAGTCCGAGTCCAAATCCAAGAGAGGTTGCGTTGCGTTGGAAGTTTTAGGTTAACCTACTTAATGAAAAGACCTGAATTTATGAATTTTTTTCCAATGTCTTCCTCCTCAATGGCGGCCCCGGCTTTTTGGAGCGCAGTAACTGCAAGCGTGCGTGCGGAGTGGGGTTTGCCGTGCTTATTGGATCCGAATGGTTCTGGAAAATATTGTACGGTACAGGATAGAATGTCTGTATTATTAGCCGATGATAATTATCGACTGCTTTGGGTCTCGTCGCGACCTGAGGACCAACAGGGGCTCAGGACCGAGAGTTTATGCACAAAAGTCGGGTCGAAGGAGGGCCAGTCGACGTCACTGTGCTGCACTGGGATGAGGAGCACCTGAAGGCTGAGACTCAGTGCTCGGTAGCAGGTTTCAATGCCGAATAGCAGGGCAGGGATTCCCAAGTAAATAGAAGGACGGCGACTGTAATGCCGGTGTCGGAGACAGAGCAATGTAGTGTAAAGCCTTGGAGCAAAGTCGATGCGAGCCTCGAACTGCGGCTCGTCAAGGTGAAAGAATTATCTGTCACAGGCCAAAGAAATAGAGAAGATGAGTAGGCGGATGAGGTGATGATCCAAAGTGACGACGAATCGATCAGATGAAAGTCGAGGTTGAATCGAGTGGCTCGGTGATCGGTCGTAACAGCCGCCCGTGGGTGGAGGAGTGGAGATGACTGGGGAAGCGTGCGACGCAATGAATGTCAATGTCAATATCGATGTCGATGTCGATGAAAGAGGAATATGTCGGGCGAAGGTTTGAAAGGAAAGCAAAAAAGAATGTTTGCTCGAATTGTAATTTTAATTGTGCCACTGAATCAAGCCTTCTGTTATGGTGTGCGGTTTATTGCGATGCGAACATTCATCCAATGGGTATCCGTAACTTTCATTGTGAAAAAGAATAACGTACCTACTAAGGTAGGCGCTACCTACAACTACAAGTGAACCAACTGTACCTAGCAGACAGTGTAACGAGCAAGAGATGATGACATGGTTGCACTTGCCAAGGGCTCTTTCACACATGGCAGATCTTTTGAAAAGAGGAAGGCATGACCCGACTGTTCTTATATCTTCAAAAGAGGATATTACCGTTTAGCATTGTGACGCCCGACTGATCGAGAGGATATCCGCATCCAATATCGAGTGAACGATTATTTCTATTCTTTTCTTTTTGCGCCAACTTATTAATTGACATACCAAGGTAGGTCCTAGGAGATCCAGCTCGAATTGGCCCAGGTACCCACCCCCGCTGATTCGCTTGTGTTCAGGGTATCGGCCAGTACCTACATTTGAAGCCTTGCTGTCCCGCAATTTTTGACGGGAACCATCATGGATTTATATATGTACTGTATGAAGATAAATAGAATAAACAGACAATGGGAGCCCGAGGTGCTGAACAGGGATGATCACTAAAGGTGTATTTGTATAAGCTTGCCCAGACCGCCCATGTCTTGAACTGACTGTCGAGTCTTGAAATAGCCAACCTTTGTTGAAAATTACAAACAAAAGAAAGGACTGTGCGACGCTGAATCTGCAGCCTGGCAGGGGGGTTCAGTCAGTTGACTTGTGCTACAGTATGGATAGGTATATAAGTATTGTATCAAACACTTAACAAAAGCTATAAGTACCTATGATTGGTACATGGTTCACTACCAGTCAGTCATTCTCTCGGAGAGTGCCCGGCTTCTACCCATCCACCAATGTTTTTACAGTAGGGATGCACGCGACCTCGTTATTTTACACACAGCATCACACAATGAGCCAACTGAGAGTCTAGTATCGACCTCATGCCCTAATCAATGGGTATGCTGTGCACGATACATGGCCATGGTTGTTAGAAAAGTCCTGACACCTATAGATTACAAGTAGGGATAAAACCACCAGTGAGCAGAGGTGTAGCTGATGACAGAAGAAATGAAGTTTGTAAAGTGATGCACTCTGACGTGTGCCTCCCGTTTAACCACTCCATTTCTAACCAGACTCACATGCAAATAAACAGCGCATTAGCTTCACTTCGTTTCTATTGGATCTGGACTCCAGTAATTTATTCCATTCCATCGGATCGAACCTTAAAATTCCCACAATGTAGCCATTGTATTGGCTCTTATTGTATTGTTTACCTGAGCTACTATGAATTGACACTTTCCAGCCCAGCGGTATCTGTCGTGTGCAAATAGGTGCCTCTCCAGTACCGTAGGTACGTACCTACCCACCATAATGCAATAAACAGTCTTCTTTGAGTCCAAGCTGCTGATTGGCCACACGTCACTTGCCTTTTTTTCCCTATCCCAGAGCCTCATCCTCTCCACCAACAGACCTTTCCCTGACTGTCTCACATTACATCTCATTGAGCTTTTGGGAAGCTCAATCAAATCATCCGCTGTCATGAAGATTCTCGAAGCGCAATCCGCTGTCCTTACAAATTATGAGGTCTATCAGCACGTCACGGAACAGCGCGAAAGATACAAGAACGCCAAACGCAGAGGACCCCCAAACCTCGAGACTGTGGTTCGCGAGGTAATATTTTTTTTTCGTCCTATTTCAAAGCTCTAGGAATTGCTACAGGGAATCATCGCTATCAAAAACAAAACTGACATTATTGGCAGCTCCTTCAATATCTTCGTACAAACCCAGGTCCTTTGGGTCAGGAACCGCTGCCGTACACTGAAGGCTGCATCTCTAAACTTCTCGAGCGCCTGCGACCTTACAACCTTGCCAAGGGCGAGGTTGTCATGATCATCAACCTACGTCCCGCCTCAGTTGCTGCTCTCAATACGGTTGTTGAGGACATGTCTGAGCGTTTCGACGAGGAGCAGCAAGAAGCCATGGTTAACATCATCGCCGAAGTCCTCGGCCAGTTCCCTGCTTCTGAAGAAGATGCTGAAGAAGATGGCGCTGACGTCTCTATGAACGACGCCGCTGCTTGAAATCTAACATCGCCAATATAACGTCGAATTACACACCCGCACCACGCACCCTACCAATTAACCTGATGCATTCTCTTCCTGAAAAACTTATAGTATGGCGCATGTGCTTGCGCTCTGGCTATTGGCGCCTGTTGTTGGAGTCACTGCTGTCTTGCACAGATCCTCGAAGGCCAGCTTCAGCAATTCACCCGTCACTGCCGAACATTCAACATATCGATCCGCCCTGAGAGCCTGCGCCACCTGATATGCTTCTTGAGGATAGATGATGCCGTTTGGATCATCCTCTGATCTCAGGTCACGCTTCAGACCCAAGATGATTAGTGGTAGGGTGTCAAACCGCTGAAACGATCTTTTAACTTCATCGATCCACTATTGACTATCAGCTATTCCCGTTCTTGACACAAGAGGTGATCGGTGATACACTCACGTATCTTTGCATATTGATGAGACTCAACCTCTGGCTGATGTCGTAGCAAATGACGATGGCATCGGGGTCCAGCGTTTTCCAGTTATCGGGGCACGACGTGTCAAAGAACTCGAATTGGAATTGTTTTGCCCCTGTCTTGATGCCAAATATGTAAGGCTGGTCGATATCACGAAGCATAGGAATTGGATTGATATGTTCGCCGGCACTGAGTCGGCTGAAGAAGCGGTGTTTAGTATGAGATACCCAGAGATTCAATAGATGAGTTAGACTCTACATACGAGAGAAATGTTGTCTTGCCGCATTTTTCGTCGCCTACAAGGAGTATCTTGATTACTTCCAGATCCATGGTGAAAATCTTGCGGATTTACTGAATTGTGCAAAGAATAAGACCGATGGATGTATCGAAAATTGATCAGCTAGGACAACATGAACATGAGCGGGCATGGATTTATTTAATAGGTACTAAGTTAAGAGCCAAAGATAGAGATGAGATGAGAGCAGTACGTAACTTATCTCTGTCCCCCAACTGTGGCGTAACCTGCAACAAGCAGCCACATGATACCCCCACAAGCCACATCTTGAAACTGATGCAAAGCCCTTTTCCACTTGTAAAGTCTGATGGGCCTGCATATAATCGCCCAAAATTGGAACCCACCAACTTCACATGAGATCTTTTGGCCGTTGTCTTGGGCGTCAAAGGCCGCTCGAAGTCAGAATAAGCCAAATTCAAACTCGATATATCTCATCAAGTAGTGAACTATCTCAAGTTACTGTGCACCAACAGCGAAAAACCTCCAAGTACCGCACCATGTCTGGCGAGTCAAATTATCAGTCATGGACCAAAAACGGTCTCATCCAAAAAGTCAAAGAGCTTGAAGCAGAACTCAGAAATCGACCTGCTCCAGAAACAAAACCCGAAAATGAGATCCAACCCCAGAACGAAGAGGGAGATGTGGCCAAAAAGTCAACAAAACCCAAAGGGAAGAGAAAGATGGACCCCAGCAAGTATTCAACACGCTACATCGCCTTGAAACTTGCATATCTGGGCAAGAACTACGGTGGTTTTGAGTTCCAAGCTATGGCGAATGCTCCGTCTATCGAGGAGGAGTTGTGGAATGCTCTTACAAAAGCATGCCTCATCTTTCCCAACGATGAACGTGTCGTCGACTTCGAATGCTGCGAATATTCGAAATGCGGTCGTACAGATAAGGGTGTTAGTGCGTTTGGTCAGGTTATTGGTCTCCGAGTGCGAAGCAACAGACCCCTGCCCAAGAAGCGAAGACGTCTGAGTGAGGCTGGCGAGGCAATGGTGATCGATGAGCAATCTGCGGAGAACGTGGAAGAAATGGAAGATGAGACATCAACTTTCGACCCCATCAAGGATGAACTTCAATACCCCCGTTTGCTCAACCGTGTTCTACCACCTGATATCCGCATTCTCGCCTGGTGTCCCTCACCACCCCCGGATTTCTCTGCTCGTTTCTCCTGCCGCGAGCGCCAGTACAGATACTTTTTTACACAGCCCGCTTTTACACCAGAGCCTAGCGCTGGGGGTGCAAGGAACGGCTGGCTCGACATTGAGGCAATGCGAGAGGCAGCTAAGCGCTACGAAGGAGAGCATGATTTCCGCAACTTCTGCAAGATCGACCCTGGCAAGCAGATCACAAACTTTGTACGAACCATCTACGAGACCGATATCGAAGAGGTTCGAGATGTGAGCTCAGCCCTGCCGTATCTTTCCGGGTCACAGTTTGCCCCCACCGAGGGCTTGCCTGCCGACAGCACTGTATATCCCAAAGTGTACTCTTTCAACGTTCGAGGTTCTGCTTTCCTATGGCACCAGATTCGCCATATGGTCGCTGTTCTTTTTCTTGCCGGCCAACGACTGGAGAAGCCTGATATTGTAACAACGATGCTTGATGTAGCAAACAACCCTTGCAAGCCCAACTATGTGATGGCCGATGAAGTACCCCTTGTACTTTGGGACTGTATCTTCCCTGGCGAAAAAGATGCTCCTGTTGAACCAACGGCCAAGAAGACCGATGGCCTCGACTGGGTGTATCTGGCGGATGATCCAGCACTGAGCAAGCCTGGTCCATTTGGTGTCATGGACGGCATGTGGGCGTACTGGCGAGAGCGCAAGCTAGATGAGCTGCTCTCGAACCAGCTTCTGCAGCTTGTCTCGACACAGCGCAGTAAGGACCCTTCACGCCAAGTCACACGCCCTGAGCCTACCGGCAAGCAAGCGAGCAGTGTAGTCGTCTATGAGGGCGGCAACGGTGGACGTATGGGAGGTCGCTATGTGCCACTGATGAAAAAGGATAAGCTCCAATCCCCCGAAGAACAGAACGAACGATATGCAATCAGAAAGGGATATGCTAGCTCAGAGGATATGCGAACACAGAGAGGAATCGGCAAGCGGAAGGCAGATGAAGCCATGGACGAGTAGAGATTATATATCACTTTTGGCACATAGAAAGTCCAAACTGAAAATAGTAAAACGCTCTTCTATGGGTATCATTGCTCAACTCTGTACTTTATCCTCTCCTCTCTGCTCGTACAAGCACCTCCTAACACCTCTCCATACTTCCTCCACAATTTTTCGCCGTGGTAATAGGCCCGGAAACACGACGACGACGTCGTCTTCACCTTCAACAATGACAATGAGGTAGTACCTGACTTCGAACCCAAGGAACGCTTCGTTCACAAGAATATCTTGGATCTTTTCGGTAGGTATGAACCTTGTCGCCGTTCCAGCAAGGTAGCTTCCGGGACTTTCACTTGTTTGCACACCCAAGCCTCTCATGACCAAAATACTCTCGCTCGCATAACCCCTTCGGCTGGATAGCCATAGCACAGCTATACTGGCGGGAACGAGGACGGACAGGGGTATGTTCTGTGCGAGGGCGGCTATCGAGGTTGGTGCGCGGAGGTAAGAAGCTGGCAGGATCTTCAGAAGAGATGGCGCAGCGTAGACGAGCAATGGGTGGAGAGTCAGGCGCGCATGAAGCAGGAGAAGGGTGAAGATGGAGAGGACGACGCGACAGAGAAGAATGAGTGTATGCAAAGCTGGCGGAAGCGGTCGAAGATTCGTTACAGTAAATTCGGCGGTCGTTGGAGAGGGATGACGAATGTGAAGACGGGGCGATATGGAGAACATCGTGGTGATTCGTATGTAGATTCGAAGAGTTGGTCGTTCAATCGTTGGTCATGATGGTTCTCGGCGAGCAAACGAAGCAATTGATCGAAGCTGATAAATGATAAGAGGCAGCAGCCAGTACAGTCAGCATCGAATGGGATCAGTAAGTCCCAGGGTATTGCAAGGTTTTTGATAAGACTAAACAAGAACGCATTATTCAAGGATTTGGTAGTTGAAGGTGGATTGACGATGGCGCCCTGGAGCCACTGAAGCAACAAGCTGGACCTGATGCATTTGTACATGGTGGCGCAGCATGAACTAGGTCCCGCTACGCCACAGAGAGAGGGGAACGCTATATAATCTATAAAATTGTCACTAGTTTTCGACTGTAATGGTCTAACGGTGAAGGCGCTCAAACCCGCTCAACCGCCCATCCCAATTCTGGTCGTATTCTTTGAGTACTTCCAGCCCTCCGCCGCGCCCCGCCCGAACGCTGCGGTGGCCGCCCACTCGTGCAGGTAACTCACGATGCTGGAACTTCTGCGGCCCTAAGCACTGGAGATGACCCTTGAGGGAGGTTTCACTCTGCAGAGATCTCTCCCCCGTCGCGTGGCGGGTGGGAACACGTTAGTGCGGGGGGATTTGGAATGGCAAGTGGATGAGATGGAGCAGCCAACTATCTTTTTTTGCAATTTTTGTTGCATGACATAGACGTCTGATAATCATGAAAAAGTCTTATTTAAGTCTTCGGTACGGGAGAGAGTCCTTCTAGGCTTTCTTTTTGTTAGTAGAATGCGTTATGGCTGGCGTTGAAATGAATCGAACCCTCCGTCAAGTCGCATTGATAGTGCCATCATGAAGCCATCACGACCTCTCTTTGTACGTTATCTAATCTGTATAAATCACTGTCAAAATGGATAGATGTCAGATAAGCTGTAAGGTATCAAAGCAGTATATTCATTCAATTCGTTAGATACTAAAACCCTCCGGGGGAATCAAAATGCATTTCCAATCCAATCCAGTCCAGTCCTGTCCTATCAACCCCCC